AGAGTAAAATCCCCCCGGGGCCCGCAGCCCTGGAGCTCAGCCCCCACCACGGCCCAGCACCCCACCCGCCTGGCCCCGGGGCACACCACCAAGCCAGGAGGCCGGGCCACCCCCGCTGCAGGGGCTGCTCTGGCAGGCCCCCCCGCTCCCAGCCCCCGCCCGGCCAGACCCCTCTCCCCCGTTCCCAGGCCCCTTAATACCCGGGTCCCTTAGATATTCAAATCGGGCTGTGGGGGCCAGGTTGCCCGGCAACGGCCCTGTGGGCTTGGGGACGGATTAGGAAGCCTTTCAGGGGTCTCTTTAGAGCGCCAGGCTCTGGGGGGTAAACTGTGGGAAGGCGGGCGGGGGCCAGGGCTGGACTCGAACCCCGTCCTGCCTCTCCCCACCTGCTCAGCCCTGGGCCCGGCGGAGCTGCTGGACCTCTCGGGGTGCCCCGGGCAGAGCCCTGGCCTCCCTCACCACCTGGGCAGCGCGGCCGCCTCCTCCCTCCTCCCAGCCTCAGTTCACCGCTGGGTGACTCAGGGGACCCCCACGTTCCTCTGGGCAGGGGCTTGGCACAGTCCCTGGCGACACGGGGCAGGCGCTAAGGGGCACCTTCAGGACCCCCTTCAGGCCTGGAGGGGACTCAGGTGGGGCTCAGTTGGAGTCACGGGGGTGGCAGGGCAGGCCTGGGCCACCTCATCGGGTCCTGACTGCCCGATCCTTCAGGCGAGGCCCTTCCCTCTGGATACCAGCCCCTGGCCACAGGACGCGGTGGCCTCTGGGCCACTGTGGCTAAGTCCCACGGCAGCCCGTGGGGACGATGCCCTGGGGGTGGCCTGCTCCTCCCACACCTGGTCCTAGGTGCTTCCAGGGGATGAGGCCGCCTCTGGTCACCGAGGGGACCCTGCTCCTTCAAGGTGGTTCAGGGCTGGGGCTGGCAGCTGTGACAGGCCCAGAGCCCCCAGCACGGGCCGGGGACCCCCCAGGTCTCTTGCCCTGCACAGGCCCACGCGCACCTGGGAGCAGAGGAGGCTCAGCCTGGGCGGCTGGTTCTCGCTGTCCCTGAGGCCAGTGGCAGGCCATCGTCACGCAGTTGGGCTGCCTTGCAGGGGAGGGGACGGTTAGCATGAGGAAGGGGAGCTGTGACCAAAACGCCAACCCGGGGCAATGTGGGAGGAGCCGGGCCCTGGGTGTGATGGCAGAGCAGGTGCCAAGGGCTGTGAGGGCCCCCCTTCCAGGTGAACCTTGCGGCTTCTCCCCTTGGGGTCCCCGGGCCTGGCAGTGTGGCCCCTGGGATGTGCATAAGGGACGCCCTGGTGGCCCTGCCCTAAACCTCAGAATCCACACCCCACGGCTGCAGCCTACGGGTCTGAGGGTTCACAAGCCCCAGGGGATGGTCCACCCCCGCCTGACTCTGGCCCCTGCACCCCACCTGGCAGGGCTGCCCGACCAGGGAGCCGGCCACAGGGGTCCCTCTGACCACTGATTCTTTAACTGACGTCTGGGGTCCTGGTCCCCTCCCTCTCCTAGGTCTCATTGGCCAGTCCTGCTGCAGATTCTCTGTCCCCCTGCCGGGACGGAGGACCAGGTGGGACGGCGGTGCTGTCTGGGGAGGGTTGGAAAGGGGTGGCGGACTGGGCTGTGAGCCACAGGTAACATGGGACATCACCTCAGGGCGGGGTCAGGCTCAGCTCACGCACAACTGAAGGGACCCGTGAACTTGGGGACAAAATTGCACCGTCCCCTTCCTGACACTGACCTGAAAGTCAGCACAAGTGACAAACCACGGTCCTGTCCCAGGGGCTGACCCAAGCCGATGCTTTAGTGCACCCCAAACCGCTGCAGATTGACAGGACGACAGTGACAGGAGCCCCCGGGCGCCGGAGTCCACGGGTTGATAAAGAGCATCGTGGCCACTGGACGCACGACGGAGTTTTTTCCGTGGTGCTGGGGATTGACCCAGGCGCCTGACCCCTGAGCCACAGCCAGCCCTTTTCATATGTCGTTGAGGGACCGGGCTGCTGGGGTGCTTAGCGCCGCACTGAATTGCTGAGGCCGGCTGTGGACTTGCGGTCCTCCTCCCTCGGCCTCCCTCAGCTGGGATGACGAGCGAATGCCACCGTGCTCAGCTGGGAGGGTCCTGGACAGGGCTGCGTCAGACCCCCCGCAGGGCACGTCAGAACCACAGCACAGGGACCGGAGCTGAGAGGGGCCTTTAGTCCGGTGTGCGGTGACCGGGCAGCTGACCACCACCAGGGTGGGGGAGGGGTCACTTACTGACCATTATCAGGGTGGGGGTCACTTTCCTCTTTGTTTCTGACGCGTTGCAGCGTCGTGTGGGCACAGGACTCCACGCTGCCTGTGGCCGAGGTCTAACCTCTGATGGAACAGCGCCGTTTGTGACCGAGAGATGGAAGTGTGACTTTCACACCTGGGCTGGTGACCACGGCCATTTTCCTTTTCACTGTCCTCATTCTACCTCCCCGTGACCAGGTCGGAGTCTCTGCAAGCAGGTCCAGAGCCTTGGTGCCCAGAGACCAGGGCAGGTCGGGCGTTCAAGGTGGGGTATGGGCTCCGACCTGAGGGTGGGACGCAGCTTCTGCAGATGAAGTCCAGACCCAGTTCATGGGTGACCGGAGGCACAGACTGTGAGGTCACCCTCGGGGCCAGCCGGCTCGGAGCCCGTGGAGCCATGCCTCTGCAGGGCAGCAGGGCCGAGGAGCAAGGAATGCTGTTTTGTCCCGGGTGGGCCTCAATTTCCTCATCTGTAAACAGGAGTGTCCATGTCGCAGGCTGGGCCGATTCAGTGAGGTAATGTGTGTCGGGAGCTTTCAGAAGTCATCATGAATCAAGGTGTTATTCGTAGGGAGCTCCTGGATCGGTGGGAAAAGCAGCAGGCTTGGTATCAGGAAATCGTGGTTCTAGCCATGCTGTGTGGCTTTGGACGAGACCCCATCCCTCTCTGGGTCTCAGCACTCCACATGTGAAACGAGGAGTTGCAGGTAGCACTCAGAGAAGGCTTTTCCTTTTTGAAGATTCTCTGATGGGAATCTCTGAGCGCCTCAACCCACAGACCAGAGCTGGGGCCTCCCAGACGCTGAGGTCGCCCTGTGCCCCTTGACCTTCACCGTTCAGTGAGAGCGGGGGACCAGGGACTGTCACTTAGGATCCGATTGCATCCACAGCTGGCTTTGCTCCTGGTGTCCAACCCTCAGGGCACCCGCCCCTCAGGAGCCTAATTAGATTTTAGTCCCATTTGTCTGGGTCCAAGTCTCTGTCCTGCCACTGCCAGGATTTGGGACCAATTGCTTATTTAGGAGACCATCTGTCTTGGGAGGCATGAGACGCAGCAGGCACAACCAGTGGGCAATTAAGTCCCCCATTCTAGACACCCGACGTTCAGGGCCAGTGTCCCTCTTATCAGCCTGGGGCCTGGTGCTGATGGAGGAGCCCAGGCGGGTCTCAGGGTCCAGCCGAGCTGGGGGGATCTCAGCTCTGGGACCTTCCTAGCCCCCTGGAGCCTTGGTTTCCCGTCTGTGAAGGGGAATGACAATGTGAACTTTGCAGAGCTTTCTGGAGGATCGAGTGAGATCAGGTAGGTAAACACCGTGGACGTGCCTGGCACCACCGCGTGGGTGGGTGCCGTGGGTCCGCTGCCGGGAGCGGAGCCACTGGGCCGGCCCCAGGAGACCCGCGCAGCCCTGCCTGCGCCGCAGCGCCCCCTGCTGGCCAGGCGCACGCCGGCCGTCTGTGGCTCTCCAGGTTCGGGCGCAGTCCCCGGCGCTGGGTCATCCTCGCCCACCTGCCATTTCTCTTTCTCTCCAGAAAGTGTGCCCAGGGGCTGGGGGCAGGGAGAACAAGAGGAGTGATTTATGAACGGAGCTGTTCTTCTGAATCAGAGAGCCCCTCCCGCCCGGCTCGGTGCAGATGGGCTGGGCGGCCATCTGGGGCCCGGGGAGGGGCGAGATTAATAAAGCTGTCTGTCCCAGGCGGGAGCCTGCTGAGAACCCCGAGGCTCTGTGTGACCTCGGCCCCATCTCGGCCCCTCTCTGGGCCTGGGGGCTCCCATCTGTCAAGGGATGGCAGGACTGGGTCACCCCCCAGGGCCCTCCAGCTGGCCCGGGAGAGGATGCTGGCAGATCCCTGAGCTCTGTGCACGGCTGCCGCCTGGTTCAGGGCAGAACCGCGCAGGGCTGGGGGCTGGGGCTGGGGACTGGGGCTGGGGACTGGCGCTGTCTCTTTCTGGTGTCCCTTCGGCTGCTGTGCCCCACCAGACTCCATCTTGTCAGCTGCTCTGGTGTGGGGCTTAGCTGACCTACAACTGAACCAGAGCCAGGTCTTACTAAGCAGGAGAATCAACCAGGCCAGTGGTCGCCTCCTCTGGGCCTCAATTTCCTCATCTGCAAAATGGGACAGTGATGGTTCCCATCCCCTCCTGGAGAGGGATTAAATAAGACGCAGAAGAAATGCACGACAGGGTCTGGGACCTGGTGGACACTCAATTCTTTTTTTTTTTTTTGAAGGGGGGGGTACTGGGGATTGAACTCAGGGGCACTTGACCACTAAGCCTCATCCCCAGCCCTATTTTGTATCTTATTTAGGGACAGGATCTCACTGAGTTGCCTAGCACCTCGCTTTTGCTGAGGCTGGCTTTGAACTCATGATCCCCCTCGGGGTTCTCAGCCTCCCGAGCCGCTGGGATGACAGGTGTGTGCCACCTCGCCCGGCAGTGATTATTAATAACTCAATTATCACAAAACTAGAAAAACCTGAGTTTAGGGAGAAGATGTTTGTACCCACCCTAACCAAGCCCGGGTCCGCGGCTCTCTATAGCACCCACCCACCACTCATGTGGTTGGGGTACACTTATTCCCCACACACGGCGGTGCCGGTGGTGAGGCCCCCGTGAGAACGGTGCTTGGCAGTCTTCCAAGTGTCCCCAGATCCACAAATTCTTCCAGCCGCCTTTGGCTTTGAAATTGATCGTGGGTTTTCAGAGGAGACCCTAACATCTCTGGGAGAGTAGTGACTTCCCAAGATCCCAAGGGAGCTGGCCAGGCAGGCTGACCTGGGTTCTGCAGAAGGTACAGGTTGAGTGTAGCTGATGTCCCCTGTGCTGTCCTCTTCCAGGACAAATAGGAGCCGGGAACCAAGGGTCATCCAGGGGACTTGGAACTACAAAGAGGGGCAAGGCTCTTTCACAGATGAGCTGCCCAGTGAAGAGAAGGCTGGCAAGACTCCATTCACACAGGGCCCAGCACCTCTTGCTTGTCACCGAGTTGGCCTTCTGTGCCACCCATGCCACAGCGTCAGAGGATGTGAGCCACATCACACTCAGAACGGCAGCCTGAAGTGCTGGCAGGGCATGGCGATACTGGGGACCAGGGCTGAGATGGGACAGGGAAGAAGAGATGGGGGAGAAAACCCTGGGCCCTCTCCCCGCCGAGGGCCCTGGGGCCAGGCATGGTCAGCGCTGGACCGGACCCCCAGGCTCCCGTTCCTGAGCACACGGAAACCCAAGCCGAAGGAGCCCAGGTGGCTTCATGTTTCCCAGTGCGCTCAGACTCCGTCCTGCCTGGACCCGTGGCCTCTTCTCCGGCTCCTCCTGGCGCCCGCCCTGCTGGGAGCACCCAGGACCCCTGACCCCTGGCTCTTCCCCAGCCTGCTCTTCCCACTCCCTGCCTGGAGCCGCAGAGGGAGTCCCGGCTCTCCAGGGGACGCCCAGCTTAGCTGTGTGAGGTCAGACAAGTCACCTCTCTCTAGGACAGAGTTTCCCCACTGTAGAATTGTCACGTTTCCTAAACCTGAGGTATAGAGATGGGGCCGCAGTCCCCACATGTGTAGATTCAGACCAAGGGGGGCCACCAGCTCCCAGGGACGCCGCGAGCTCTCAGGAGGGAGGCGCTCCTCCTGCCTGCCCACCTCCTAAGGCTTCACCTGGCCACGTACGGTGCTGCTCGCCTGTATCCCAGTGAATGGGAGGCTAGCCTCGGCAACTTAGGGAGACCCTCAACCATTTAGTGAGGCCCTGTCAGAAAATAATAATAATAAAGGTCCTAGGCATGTGTTAAAGCGCCCCAGTTTCCATCCCCGGTACCAAAAGTGTGGGAGTGGGATGACCTTCACCCTTCGCTGCTCCGTCTCCACTGCTGTCGGTGCAGTCACTCTGTGAAGTCAGCGCTCCCCTGTGGCCTTCCCAGCCCCACTGCTATCCCTTCCTTCTCCTCCAACCTCACTCCAACCGTGAGCAGGCGCTCGCTCCCTGCACAGCCCCGGCACCCGAGGGAGCAGCATATGTCTACTGAGGGGATGGTGGGGAGAGAGGTGGGTGGATAGATGGGTGCATGACGGATGGGTGGGTGGATAGATGGGTGAGTGGGTGGATAAAAGGGTGGGTAGATGGATGGATGGATGGATGGTGGAAGGGTGGATGGATGGGTGGATGGGTGGATGGATGGGTGGATGGTTGGGTGGA